CACCCAAACAGTCCTTGAAGGAGCAGCTCATGCGGAGGATGCTCTGAAACGGCTCCGGGGAAGGAGGAGCTCCCTGGAGATTCTCAAGCTGGCGGTCTTCCACCACCAGCTTGAATTTGGCCTTCCCCTTCTGCCGCCTCCCCGGCCAAACGGAACGGGTCCCACCAGGTGAGGCTTAGAGAGCCGCCTGGCAAGCCGGTCTCCTAGCAGAGCAGGCGGAGGCTGCGGTCCCGTCTCCTCCCCGGGGTGCTAAAAGTCAAGCCAAGCCCGTGCCCTTGGGCCTGAAACGACGAGAGCTCCGCTTGCTCTGGAATGGAGGCTGAGCAGCTCTGCACTTGTGGCTCTTCTTTGTGCGAAACAGATCAGAGATGCCTCGCCGTGACTGCGGGTTTGATTACTGGCGGCACCTGCTGCTACTTCTCTACTTCTGCTTCTCATCACAGTGGCAGAAGCGATGGAAAGCCCAAAGGGAAACCCCCGAAGGAAGATGAGGGTGAGTTCCGACGTATATAGTGTTTTGCTATGAAGCCCCCAACAGAATGGCTTTATGGGCTGGACGAGGGGGAAGCTTTGTAAGGGATTTATCTGTTTGGTGGAGCACGTTCATCTTCTCTTTTCTGTCAAACTGGTTAGCCTCCCGTCCAGTTCAGATTTTTCTGCATCTTAAAAGAAAGGCTTGAATTAATTTTCTCCGAACAAGTTGGATCTGATCTGCAGGGTATGCCCAGAAGCATTCCTGTTTTCTTGTCTGGCTTTGCTGAGTTCTCCTAGATGAACAAACCTACATGTATTTCAAGTATTAACATATGAATGTTAAATTGACATCATGTTCTTGGATTTAAAAAAACCTTTTGCACTCATGGCTGTTTTATGCCCCCAGCTTAATTTTATAAGGGGCTTCACACCTTTCTCCTAGACAACCGGTTGTGCCTTCTTGCCTGCGCGCGTTTAGTTTTGGTGACCCTGCAAGTACTGTACGACAAACGACCGCTAAGCCACGCTGCCATAAGGGAGCTGTGCCCTGGGTGGGGGAAAAGGAGCTGGCTATTCTGCTGGAGCTGGGAATACCTGCATCTCATTCTTTTTAATTTTTTAATACATCAGTCTTAAAATTGTTTACAGGGAAAGAATAGCCTTGCTAGATGTTTCTGTTGTAAAGAGCTACCCGTATGCTTATTCAGGATCTTATTAGACTATTTTGTTTTAAAGATTTATATCTGCGTACATCTTGATACAGACCAGGCATAGGTGCTCACATCTTTTATCTCAAACACTGTGTGCACCAAGAGGGCAAAACAGCAGGCTACAAGCCTGGTTCCTGATAAGGTCAGCCCTTTATGGCATGGTCTCCCCTGCGGCCTGAAGCGTTGAGGTCTGTGTGGCCATTTTGTTTGGGGTCCATTTGAAAACCCTTCCTTGATAGGCAAGGAGGTGCCTATAACAGTAGCGAGCTCCCCGGTAGGGAGGCAGGTTTGCTTTTCTCAGAGGTGGGGAGGAGATTTGCCGCTCATCATGTGCACCGTAGCCATACTGAGACACTGCAATTGTCTCTTGGCCACGAGGCGTGCTGTTCTGGCCCCTTGAGACGGTACCAGGGAGTGGAGGGTGGCTCACAGTTCCCTCCATAAGAATTAGCCTTCTAGCCACTCTTTGTCATACGCGGACAATACGATCCATGTAAAACCCTTGATCCTTTTTCTTGAGTTCCTCTAACACAGCGTTTCTCAACCTTGGCAACTTTAAAATGTGTGGACTTCAACTCCCAGAATTCCCCAGCCCGCCCACACATCTTTCAGTTGCCCAGGCTGAGGAAA